GACACCACACACAACAGTCCGCGAGATCGGAGATCACTGGCCGTCAGCGTTCCCGTCGTAAATGCCTCGGCTCACTTTGGCAGGATTGCCTGCTACTACTGTGAATCTTGGGACATCCTATTTCTTCGTCAGTCTCTAATTGCGTGCTATGTGTCAGTAGTAGGTTCTGTCTCACCTGATGTAGTAAACTTCCGGCGCCAACAGTACTGCTCTTACCAACCCTCACGCCAGCCAGGATGGTCACATTGCTTCCAATCCAGCAATCCTCCTCAATCACTATGTTTCTACCCAAGGCTGCCCCACCGCTCCCATTGCGCCTCCTCGGATCAATAGGATAGGTAGCACACACAAGCTTCACATTAGGACTAAAGATGCATCTCGCTCCAATGGTGACCGAGCAAGTATCAGAGATGCGACAATCAGCACCAATGAGCACGTCATCGCCCACGGTGATATTGTAACCGTAGTCGCAGTTGAAAGGCGCCTCTACAACAACACGCTCACCCACGCTACCGAAAGGCAGTTCCATCTGTGGAGGCGGGACTTCGCCGTTGGTACCAGGTGGCTCCGGGGTTGGGCGCAAGCTGATGATTTGACGGAAGAGGCGGCAGCGCTCTTCGGGGCTGGCACCATGGGAGGGATTGGTAGCGTTATTGAAACGCCAGATGGCGGCAATGCAGCGCTCGCGGTCCTCGGTGAGGGCAGGGGTCAACGGTAAGTAGTACAGCCCCTTCAGCATCTTCTCTCGCTCGGTATATTGCTCGTTTCGACGTGATGGAGATGGACGGATAGCGGCTGAGTGTGTTGTAGCTGCTTGTGCAATGGCTTGCACGTTGTTTTGGTTAGGTGGAGTGTTATTGTGATTCGGTGGGTGAGGTGCTTGGGAGTATTGCGATGCTGAGGAGTTGGTCCGATGCACAGAAGCTGGCGGATGCATTGAACTCTGCTCTTGGGGATCAGGCATCTCGTACACGGAACCACGGTGGCCGTTCTGATCATATTTGGACATAGATGGAGGATGGCTTGGGTATGGTCGTGGAGCTTTGGCCCATGCAGACTTTTGTGGGTCCGGAGGACTTTGCCTCCCATAGACCTGGTCACGATCATTGTCAACATCGATTGGTTTGACTCGATCACCGTCGTACGATCTTTGCATATGCTGAGACGGCGGGCCTGGGTAATCCGGGCTGGTCTCCTGGTAGCGAGTGGTAGGTGGGTATGGAGCACGAGAAGGAGTCCCCTGGGGCGGGTAGCCGTTCTTTGATTGGAGAGGAATGGGTTGTTTGGCGTTGGTTGGTTTCTGCCACGTATTTCGCATGCTGTATCCTTCGCAGACAAATCCTCCGCGCAAGCAGTTATTACCTATCACTTGTGAGTAAAAAGATCTCAACGTGAGCAATGATCCGAGAATTGAGCTTACATTCTGGATGTTGTTCATCACACTTCTTCTTTCTCCGTCTACAGGTCATGCATCCTGTTTTGGTACGATTGCTGAAAACTCTCTTTCTACGCTTGCGATCTAGGTCTGCAGAGCTACGGCTTGCACCGTAATCCCCGTATTGTCCGTGCTCATCATCGTCTTCTGGAGTTCCATAAGTGTCACGAGGAGGCATTGAATCGTAGCTTCGATTGTGTTGTCGCAGGGAATCAGCCATCTGTTGGTCTGAATAGTATGGTCTGGGTTGACCTGGAGCAATAGAAGGGTCGACAGGATGATCGTAGTCATTCCTCACATGCTGGTGTCGCTCCGGTCGCGGGTAAATATCAGGAGGGCTTTCTCGCATCTGCGGCGGTCCGTGGTACGCATCTGGAGGGGGCGGCGGATACGTTTCTGGGGGTGGAGGATATGTTTGGCGAGGGCTGTAGGCTGGCCGCTCCCGTGGAGCGCCGTTGTCCATGCTGTGCATGCGCTGACCGCCAGGACTGGGAGGAGGACCATGCATAGGGTACACGGTTTGGTGGTCGTACTCAGGATGGCGTGGGTGCTCTTCATCAAAGGATCGCTTTCGTTTTTGCACCTGGGGACTCATGATCCCATTAGGTTGCTGATTACTCGGAGTCCTGGAATGATTTGGGTATTGCGCTCTTGGTCCGCTGGAGGTCTCAGTTCGTTGTGAAGCCGTTGAGGGTGGGCGGTCCAATGGGTGAGCATACACTGGACCTGGTGCTGGGCCTTGAGAATGTGTCGGAGCTTGAGGTTGAGCGGCAGCTGGAGCTGGTGACAGCCGTCTCTCTTGTCGCGGTGGCTCCGGTCCATTTGCTGGTCGATCCTGGCGTGGTAGAGCCGGAGATTGCGGAGGTTCATGCTGATTGTTTGGAAGAATTGGACGGTGAGTGGTGACTTCTGGGCCCTCCTTCTGAGGCTCATGGTCTGGCTTGGGCTTTGCTGGAGGAACCGGAGAGGTGCCGCCATTGACAGCAGTAAACGATGATCTAGGCTCAGCCAAGTGATCATTCTCGTGAGATCCCTGCCCCTCGCCGGCGCTGGGCTGGTTGGAAGTAACTGCTGCCATGATTCACCTCACACCCGCGAGTTTGTCGCTTACTGCGTGTGGTAGGCGCGAGGTTTCTTTCTTTTAACCTGCCAGCGCGGTGAGCAGGTATCGCGCCTTTAGACAAAATGTGATCTACATAAAGCAACGCAGATTAAGATACTCACTTCGAGTACGCCTTTGCTCAAGGTGTTTGAAGGCCGCGTGCGCGCGCTTGATGATGCGTCTACTGAAGACTAAGTCGAGGTGGATTGAGAGCCCCAATCCACAGAATTCGAAAGATGAGCTGGACGGGCAGCTTGGAGACAGGTGAAGCCGTCACCAAGGTGCGATCGTGTTGGAGGGAAGGAGTGAAAGAGAGGGGAGGGAGGGTTAGGAACACCGATCCGCCCTCGGTGCGCTAATGAGCCTGGCGTGAATTGTCGCGCGGTGTTAAGCTCCTATAAATTTAATTTTTCACACTTTCTTCACTCATCATTTCCTTTTTGAGAACTGCGAACCTTCCTAATTTTCACTGTATGAGGCAAAGAGACCCAGCGGCTTGGTTCAGCAGGATTGCAGCCGGAGTTGGGATGGAACGTTGAGTTTGGGAGGGCGGCTGTGCTTTAACGCAGTGAGCGATTGTGGAGCGGGGGAATTACTAGTTCGATTGCTAGGGGAAGATGCCGATCACGATGATTGGGTTTCAAGTTTCGAGGCTGCAGCCAAAAATAAGAAAAGACACACCACCCGCTCCTGATTGGATTCACCAACACCTCCCTCTTCAATGCTTTCACGGGCGCTTACACCTCATCAGCAGGATCCTACGCAAATACTATGGCCAAGAAGGTCACCCTATTTAACAAATATCTTTAGCGTGGCCATTATGCAGGCAGCAGGAGTCAGCTCGGCGGCAAGATGGCCAGCAGTCAGCACTCAGCACCAAGTTGCTTTGACCACTCGGCACGGGGCTAAAGATTTAGCGCTTCCTGAAGCTCGTAAAGTTTAAATTGACGAGGATCTGACGGCGCGATTGCATTGGTCACATGGAAGCCGCCGAGGCAACTCATGCACCCTCCTCGATCGGTGGAGAGTGAGGCCCACCATCATCTTGCAAGACGACTGCAACCGAAAGCTTGGCAGGCCGACTTCATCTCGACTTATACCGCAGTGCCAGAGACTTATTTTGGCAGCGCCGAGACCCAATCAGCGTCGGCAAAGTGTTGGCCAACAAAGCTGACACCTTTATGGATCGGGTCTCACCATCTACGTCCAATTTGGTGGGCATCGGCGGGAGCCGTGGCACAGTCTTAGTCTCACAATGATCCAGCTTACGCCACTATGCACAAAGAAACACACATGAGACTTGAGACCTTGAGACAGCCCCGCAATCTTGCAAGGTCGACGCCGCGCGTGTTTGCCGTGTTTGCCTCGGTCATCTTCAAGCCTCGCTGACCGACAACCCTGCAAAATCAAATGAAGAATCCTACAGTCTATGCCGATTTGCTGCTGACGACGGAGACAATAATGAATGGTGACGGGTAGGCGTGATAAGTGATGGCTATGCTCATCATCAGTGGTGATGATAGGACGGGACCAGCGGACCATAAGAGGAGAAACATGAGGAGAAAGTGTTATCCGGACTACAAGTATCGACCAACCAAAATCCTGCGATCGCGGCTCGTCCCCTCGGTAGTAAATTGAAATTCTGCAGATGAGGTCAGGAGGAGAAAGGACAGCCCAATTACAGGTATGAAACGGGACGTACATCTAGCCCCTTGTTGCTGTCATCATGCAGTAATCAGGCCAACCATTTCATGCAAGCTGGGGATTGCAGGAGCGGCGCTTGCCATTTACCGCCTAAAGTAAACCTTAAAATCACTTGGCACGCTAATGACATTGAACTCATGGCGGCGCCTCTAAGCGCTCCTTGTAACACCTTCGTCGACGTCTCTTAATGATAGCTCCAGCATCGCATCTCAACGTCTTACAGAGAGTAAAGAATGATGGGGAGTATGAAACTCGAGGTGATAACATCTCGAACCGCTTTTGAAAAAAGAACCTTCATGGCTGTTCGGAAGTCAACGGGCGAACACTTCTCGTTTCGAGCCTTAATCCTATTCCATCATTTTTATGTCTTGCAACAATGTTCGCAGGACGCCCAACCGCAACCGCGGGATAGTAAACATAGAATTGCGCAGTCAGCTTTCCGCTGTGTCGTACCCCACCGCTTTTCTGCCACGTCGCATGATAGATTCAGAAGATAAAGCATGAATAATTGTTTTCGAGGCCATTGAGATGGATTAGAAGGATGGAGACTGACTATACTGGTCTTTCGCGCGAATGACAAAGGGTTCAAAAGCTCGAGGCCATGTCAGAAATTCACATCGCATCCCAGCAGACCTTGGTAGTCGCCGCAGCATCTTTTGAGCTGATATACAAGGCCGCAGATACAGCTTGGAAATAACTGACGTTACTTGCATGATATACAATCCCTGACAATCATGCCTCAAGCTAGTCAAGTTCCTTTCACTCCACGCCTTCTGTTTCTTCTAGACCTCTCAAAAATGCATCAACTTCTTTCGGCTCTGTAATGCCCCAGACTCCTCCTCCTCTGATCGTATCCTGGCCCCTCATACCCACCTCCTTGCCCACTAGATTCCGTCCGACCTTTCCCGGTCCAATGCCCACCCAACGCCTCACTCCCTCCTCTTGGTCGAGCCACCGTATGCTGTCCCACCACCGGACAGTCTCCACACACTGCCTCGACAGCAGTTCCTTCAACTGACTGACACTGTTGAAGGGTCTGGCGCTCACGTTGCTGACGCATGGGAATAATGCCTGCTCGAAACCGATCTCTGTCTCGTCCAATAGGTCCCGCATCATCTTCGCCGCTGGCGCCATGATTTGAGAATGAAAAGGCGAGTCGGTCGCGAGCCTGACAGCCCTTGGATCGTGACCCCCGAATTGCCTCAAGTTCACCAAAAGCGCGTGGATCTTCTCAATGCTCCCGCTTAAAACGATCTGGTTTTTACTGTTGATGTTGGCAATGACCACCTGTTCGATCGGCGGCGTGTGGCTCGCTGAATCGGCCCTGCCGCCCTCACCGACCCCATGGCCTAGAAAATCGTGTATGGCTTCGATCAGACTCGACAGCCGGTCAGGTTCGCATACCAGTGCGACCATGCCATACTCCCCGCCTTCGGTGTTAGTGGCATCCCTACTGCATCTGGCCATGGCATCCGCCCTTCTGGTCACCATTCTCAAAGCATCCTCATATTTCAAATGCCGACTACTAACCAGCGCTGCAAACTCCCCAAGACTATGCCCCAAACACACATCCACTCTTTTCCCGGTATCGAAGCCGAACTCTTGCTCAAGGACTCGTAGTATCATTATTGAGGTAGCCATGATGGCGGGTTGAGCGTTTGGGGTGGCGGTGAGGGTGGAATTGGGCCCCTCTGCGATGATTTTGGAGAGCGGCGTGGAGAGGATGTGGTCCATTTCTTCGAGGAATGGACTGCAGGTTCGTGGGAAGGTGGAGACCCACGGAGTGGCCATTCCGATGCGCTGTACACCTTGGCCTGAGCAAGGAGCGGTTAGTGGTAGGATTTGGTGGAAGACATGGGGGATAATACCTGGGAAGAAGAGGGCAGTCTTGGGGCGAGTTGATGCGATTGTGGAACTCCATCTTGTGCAACTTGATTTGCACAGTGATACTATTATTCTATGTCGAATGCGAAGGGCGTTGTGTAGGCGTGGGGGACAACAGCTGCCCAGCCTATCCAGGCGGAATGTATGGATCAACTGCTTCATTTCGTAGGAGTACTGCACCAAGCCGAAAGGGCAAATTTGCTCCCTGCGCGTCAGCCACCATGTTGGTGTAGATGTCAAAATAGTGCCATATTCGTCTACTTTGAAGGGGTTGTCGTGAACGCGGGGAACTGTATTCCGGAGTCCTCAGAGTCTTGGCGTTGATTCTACGGCCGCTTCATGAGCCTGATAGGTGCGAGATTGCACGGAACGCGGCTGTAGAAAGCTTTCTCTAGAATTCAATGCCACGATATTTGGCATTTGCTTATGCACATCGCTAAACCTGCCAGATGACGCCAAACAAGCCCCCTTGAAACGAATGCATCCTTGTAGAAGCTATACTGTCGGAAAGGAGGTTCTCAATGAACTACTCATGATCCTCACTTTCGATACCACATGCGTGTAATCCCTGATGAAATGCAATGAGTTAGCGTTGACTGTTCAATGGACAAACCTTCGAGCATTGAAAGCATATTGGGGGAACAATGCTCGTTTGACGTTTCAAGGTCCAAAATATGAGATGAAGATAAATCCCGAAACCGGAAATACTTACTTGTATGTCTCATCTTCTTCTGTAATTGGAACATGCCGTACATCAATGCTTCGCTTGTTGGCGGGCATCCAGGGACGTAGATATCTACGGGCACAATTCGGTCACATCCTCTTGTAACACTGTAGCTGTAGTGATAATATCCCCCACCATTCGCGCAAGAACCCATACTGATCACCCATCTTGGATCCGGCATCTGATCATATACTTGACGTAGGGCAGGAGCCATCTTGTTGGTGAGGGTGCCAGCAACGATCATAACATCTGATTGTCGAGGCGAGGCACGGAATATTATACCTAGGCGATCTTGGTCGTAACGTGGTGTCGAAAGATGCATCATCTCTATAGCGCAGCAAGCGAGGCCGAATGTCATAGGCCACAGGGAGCCTTGGCGGGCCCAATTGGCAATTTGATCCATAGTTGTTCTGGAAAATGGAGACGGTTAGCAATGCCTTCAAACATTGTGACAAAGCGTGAGTGAACGAGACGTACAAGGCATATTGCATAGCACCCTCTTTCTTTTCTTGACTCGGCAGGGGAACTTCTCTTCGAGGCTTGCCAGTAACGCTGAGCGGCGGACCTTGTGCATCGCGTGATGGTGTGACCTCTGTAGTAGCAAACTTCGACGCTGTTGACGAAATAGTTGCTGATGGAGCTGCTCGCAGAGGAAGGAAGACAGATGCTGGTTTGGCTGTGAAGAAGCATAGGTCAGTCGCACGTGGCACTCATGAAGGCTTGCGCAGAGCATACCTCGTAGAGCCATAGAGGCCGCCAATCTAGTATTGCAAAGCATGATGAAGGTGGGCAATGGCAGACGTGCTACTAAGGAATAGATGAATGTATTGAGGTGTGGGGCAAAACTATTATTGAACAGGATCGAGAATGGTGATGTCGGATGGGCGCTAGCGTGACCAGCTAAATCGCTTTAGTGAACGCCTTAGATCTTTCTGTTTCTCTTTCACTTTCTCTTTCTCTGCGACTACAATCCTTTCATCGTCCTGCTCGGATATGTCTTTGCTGTAGTCGAGGTAGTCAAATCTGCCAGTCTGTTGCATCAAACCGAGGAGAGATTCGCAGAAAGGCTCTCCTCTTCGTCTTCGGGGTGGCGTTCCTCTCCTTGGCTGTTAGACTCTGAAGCTCGTGGGGATGACAACCAGCGTTTCAAGTCAGGCATTGATGTCTTTACCTTGAAATTGGTCTTTACAGACTGCCAAGCGGTCTGAACCTTGGAACTGGGCGAAGTTGAGCTTGAGGGTCCATTCGTGTCTGTTGAGTTTGTCGCTCGGGTTCCCTCGTCAGACGCGCCTGAGAAGCTCATGGCCCTTGTGAATGCCCTAGCGCTCGAGAGGCGAGTTCTAAACTCTTTGATATGTCTGAAATCTGATAATAATGATATCAAGAGAAGATTCAGTACTGGATTCTCAATTATGGTTGAAAAAGCGGCCTAGGTTGTACCTGCCAAATCTCGTACCACTCCTGACGCTTTCCCTTCCCTATGTATTAGTTTCGGTGCCTGCCAAAAAGCACACCTCCCACCATGCAACCATTCACTAATTTAAGACACTGCGCAATCCGCCTCTTCAACTCCACTGTTGATAGGAACCAGCCCTCTTCCTTCTACTTGAGTGTGCTTTATCTATTCTCACACATTAGAACCTGGAGTTCTTCTCCCATTCATCTACGGAACCGCATTCACTATCCATCAAGAAGAGAAGCCTCTCGAGCAATCCATGTAACCATGGCAGCTTAGCTCTGCTCGTCATCACTCTACGCTTGGCTAGTCGACACTTGATCGTCAAGCGTCCGATTTAAGAAACAGAATTTGCTTCATCTAAACACGAACACAGTACCCTGAATTGGCCGTCGAATACTTGCTTAGTGTCGCTTGCAACAGCGATAGAAAAATATGGACGGCTTGCAGCACTTGAAAGTGCCGAAGCCGAGAAATATCGTTGGTCAATGAGCAAAGGGAATGCACACATCAGTTCTGAGTTCTTCATGCATTCCTGAATTCTAGAACGTGCTCGACCCAATAAAGTCATCGTTCAGGCGTACCGATGATGCAGAGGCGGGGCGACTGAGGTACTGGTACGATGAGGTAGGGTCTGGTGATTTCTCACGGCGTCAATTCCGCATGGAAGATGTTGATAACCGGTTTGATTTACGGTGATGACCGAAGACCGAATTTCGACTGTCTCGGCCCATTCCACGTTGCTGTTGCCGCCGCATTCCAAAGATACCTCCCAAGCTGGATATAAAAGCAGCACTCCGCCAACTCTCCCTTCAATTCTGCCATCAGATCCTGCCTCACTCTCGAGCTTGAAAACTTCGCAAGTTCGCCTAAGAACTTCGATTACCGTTTTAGAATTCACCCATAGACCAAGCCATACCTTCCGCAAACCTGGTCCTCTTCCACCAAAGCAATCATGATGCCCTTTAAATTCATCGTGGCTGGTGCCATGATGTTCTTCTCTCTGGCTCTTGCATTACCTGAGCCAATACCAGTGGCTGTTTTTGAGGCCGTGCCTGCTGTTCTTCCTGAGGCGGCACCTGTGGCAGTGCGCGAAGCGAAAGAGTAAGAGCTCCGCTTTTCCGCCAGCATTGCTACTGTTTGTGTGCTAATCAACATCAGGCTCGTGAGTCCTCTCCAAGCTTGCACCCCTGCTGGAGGTAGGTTATCCGTTCTACATATTATCTCTACATCACCATCTTCCGCCGTGCTCCTGATGGTTTCTGATGTTGTCCTCTCTAGCGTCGTGCAAAGTAGCTACCCTCTCTTGTTGTTTGGGATATACTTGTGTGACTACGGGGGCTCTTTCAGGGACGTGCCAGCTTCTGATAAATCTGGCGGTGACGACGACCACCAAAGCGACGGCAAAGGCGACAGCGGTAGTGAAAGTGGCGTAGAGGCTAGGGAATGCAAACAGTTCTGGCGTTGCATTCTGTTGCCTGAGATAGCTAAAGGGCTTCTCTGTGTTGTTATGCGAGGATAGATCGTTTCTCAAGAATTCGATGCGTGAAGGAGGGTCTCCTTGCAAGTCAATAGAAGAAGCAATGAAAAAGAATTAAGGCGGTTATACCTCTAACCTAGCCATAGTCTAATAAAGCCCAGAAATGTGCCCCTACCCTATTAGCACTATAGCGCCCCAAACCCAAACCATTTGCTTTTCTTAGTCTCCAGCGGCCACCATGACGACTCCATCAATAGCCTGCATAGGCATAATAGGCAAACACGTACCTCTCCCACTCCCCTTCATTTCACCATCATCCAGCAATTGACAACCTCCACAGGATAACCCTCTCCACATCGCCCTCTTCCCCCCTCACATCAGCGCGCCGTCCGCGCACCTCGAATTCTCCTTCCTCCTCAACGCCTCCCTCGATATCTTCGATGCTTGTGCTCGAGACCGGAATCGCATCGATCAGGACCTCGGTATGCTGCAAGCAATTGACGAGCGATTGAGTATCTGGGGCTGGGAAACAGGGACGGGAACGAGATTTGCGGTTGTGGTTGATGCGTGGGGAAGAGGGGGGAATAGGGGGTTGAGGGGAGTGTCGGATGGGGATTTGAGGGGCGTGAGTTGCTACCCTTTGTCTCTGTCGAGAGAATGGGAAGGGAGGGGGGGTTGGTGGGGCTAGAAATGCTGATTTGTGGGGTATACTAGGCTTTTAAGGCGCTGCAAACAGCGTATGTACGGCTGTTGCAGAACCCGTTTTACGTGCCGGATGAACATACGCCTATGGCTGTTGCTAGTGGGAGAGGGAAAGGAGGGGAGATCACGAGTAAGAGGTTTATTGAGGAGGTAGAGAGGATTGGCGAGATTTGGAAGCCGGGCATGAGTGTAGTGTGAAGAGCTCAATGGGGCATGTGGTTTTGGGCTAAGGATGTGACCGATGTGTATGCTGGAGGCGCCGATGTGCTGCGTTGAGACGAGACGAAGCAGGGCGCTCTCAGTTCGACAGTTTATGAGGAAGACTATGGAAGCACGAGGTTATTGGGCTGCCTCTTGTGACCAGGAACCACCACCATCAGAAGTTTCACTGAGAGCTAAGGCCTAAATCCTGTCTACTGAAGCAAAGGCTTTTTTCGAACGGCTTTTGACGGAAAGTTATCAGTAAAATCAGATCTGAAGAGGGGCGATTCGTTCAATTCACCACACGTCGGCTCAGACTTGTCCCTCGACCCAGGAATCTCAACTCAAATAATAAATTCTCAGAAATTATTAGGGAATTATAGGATCTCCAAGCAGAGCATTCCAAAGACCTTTCTCCTATTCACCAATATGCAAATTACAATCCAAATGCTCGATGGGTCCATCACACCCTTCAAAGCCAGATCATCCATCACCATTGCCAGCCTCAAAGCCAAATTCGAGCCATGGCAGCCCATGAAAGGAAGGGCCTTACTGCATCATGATGTGCAGCTAGACGACCGTGCTATTCTCGGTTCTGTTCCTGGCGTAAAGGACGGCACTATCCTCAGAGTTGATGAGCAGGTGTCACAGGTGAAAGACAAAGCTACTGGCAAGAAGAGACTAATGAGCGGTCCTGCGAGGTCGGCAGTAGACGAGGATGTGGTGGAATCGATTGAGCAATCTGGTGGTGATGATGAGGAGACACCGAGTGAGGACGAAAAGCGAATATCTAGCAGCAAACGAAGACGGCCGTTGCGGACCCCGGCGGGAACAGTGGAGGATTTCATCGATGATGGTAACATTGCGAACTCTCCACAGGGAAAGGCACTGGTACTAGACGATATGAGTGACGACACTGTACGTACGGCAGACACAAACCTGAGTGACCGTGCAAAGGCGCTACATATTGCCAAGAAGGAGAAAGGAAAAAACACAGCCCGCGAACCAACCGATATGTTGGCTTCCAAAGCTCAAAATATAGGCCATCGGCTGCACGCCTTGAACACCTTTGCCCCGCCCCCAGAGAACCCAGTCCAGAATCCTACCGCCAGCGCTCATATGCCTAAGACGACAGAGGCTATCTCATCTCGTCAGGATGTCATGGAAGACGACGATGCGACTTTCCTAGCTGGCATCAACGCCGCTGCTGCCGCGACGCAGAGACTGCCACTACACTGCGAGGCGGGACCTGAGGAGGACGTCTCGGTTCATCGATGTGACGCTTGTGGACGCGCGTGTCGTTGTGGTGGGGATCGATCGGCTACATCGAACAGCGTGGTGCCGGTGGAAGAAACAAACCGAGGACGAGAAGCTGCTTCCACGAATAGCAACCTTCACGCCCATCTGATAGCAAGAAGAAACCCCGCGAGCCAGCACGCTGAGTCGAGCTGGACTGGAATGTGATGATGGGTTATGATGCCGCTGGTGCTTATGACCGTGATGTCCGGGCATTGGATTCCCTGCGGGCGCCGTGGGCTCTGTGGGCGGGCTCGGATGCTTTGCAGAGGCTGGAAGTCAATCCCCTACAGTACAATCTGGATGTAGCTATGGGTAGAGCAGAGGCTGGGTCTTGATAGAGCTCATCGAAGGTGCTCGATTGGCTAGTTGCGTTCGGACGTATCTCTGGATGCAAATTTTTGATGGCTTGTGGAACGAGTGTTGGAGGATGGGTAGAGAGACAGAGATAAATAGGTAGCTACAATGGCGACTGTTCTCTCTAGCCAAGAGAGGAGCCTGTCATTACTTCTCAAGCCTGCAGCAGCATTTTTGACTTTGTAGCAAAGATAGGACTCAATCTGGGGTTGAGGACTGAGCTCTTAGTTGGTCTAAGTCTCAGGACGTACTTTACCAAAAATGGCACATTTCTCGCATGATTTAGAGGGGACATCGACTTGCGTAGCTGGTATCATTATAGGGGCCTACTCATCGCCGCTTACTCCTCCTCTCTGTCTCCGAGACCTCTGGCTTGCCTCTCTCCCCCAGTCCTTCAACCCCCTTTCCCCACGCCCCAGCCTTCTTCCCCCATTTGATAAGGCCCCATGCATGCTCCCAGCCAAATTTCGGAGGAGCCTCTTGACTCGTACGAAAAGGACTAGCGCCATGTCTGAACACTTCTTCTTGGTTGATTCCCTCCTCAGCTTGGAGGGCACCTTGGGCAGAGGTGACACGAGCCAAATCGTCCATGGCTCCCTCCCAACGCCTGGCGTCCTTCCCCAAAGGCCTCCACCACCCTTCTTCGTCCCTCGCCCACCATCTCTTTCCACACATCTCCCACAAACGGCTCCGAGCTCGCTTGTACGCGAACCTCTCATCCTCACCTGTGAATGTTCCAGTACGGGCGAAGTCGGGAGACTGCCGGCCAATCTCGTTTCCTGCACCTGGAGCACCATCGCTTGGTCCGTGACTTCGGCCGGCGCCGTAGACTGGGCCGAAGTCGCTGTCTTCGTCTGCTAGAATGGAGCGGGATGATGAGGCTTGAGATTGTGGGAAAGGGAGGGGGGTTGTGGAATACGACGGTGGGGAAGCCGAGGAAATATAGGAAGAGGTGTTGGGGCGGAAGGGGGAGGTCTGGTCTTGGAAGATTTCACTGAAGGTTTCGGGGTAGATTTCTTCATCGCCAGATGCGGTGCTTACGCCGTCTTCGGGGAGTTGTTTGATCTCGGGAAAGAAGATGTCGTCTGGGCCTGCCTCTGCGCCGATGAGTATTTTACAGCGGGCTTCATAAAGTGCGTCGAGGAGGGTTATGAGACGGCGCGCTTCATTCTTTTGGAGAAAATTAAGAATGGGAACATCGGTGAGGATTAAAGTATGGAATGTTGAGGCGAGCGTGATGTAGTCTGCTGGGCCAAGATTTGTGCTGCAGAGCTCGTCGAAGGTCCATTTGGTGACTCCAGAGAGGTGTCGACGAACCAGAAGATTGCGGCCGTAGACTCGTAGAGTGGTGTCCTTCCAGGGTATGGCAAGGTCATCATTTGGTAGTACCGCAGGACTTTGAATTGCATGGAGCTCCAAGGCCTTCCAAGCGCTGTCCAGCGTCACGAGCTCCTCATGAGATACTGTTGTTGACGGTCTTACGAAGTAATGCTTGGGTGCAGTTACTTTAGAATCTTTTTTGTTTAAAAACACCTCTTTACTTGTTTCCCTGACATGTAGGCTCTGTTCGTATCCCAGACCCCAGTTTCCAGGGGCTATAGGCTCAAGACCTCCAAAGCCTTCGACATTAGATTTCAGGCTGGCCTCGTCTAACATTGTATCAGTAGAGGTTTCTTCTTCAGCTTCACGTCTTCTCCAGTCCTTGCCACCTTCCATATCCCATGTCTCACATCTTGCCCGTAGAACTTCTAAGAATGCAGCAAAATCACCCTTTCCGGCAAACATATTCTCGCTCCTCCCGCCTTGGTTCCTGGATCCCAATAGACCCGATCTGTTCCCCAAGAGGCCTAGCCGTGAAGACGGTGGTGCGACGAACTCCATGCCTGACGCATTGGCCAATTCTTCTGGCATACGATTGCTTGTCGCAATTAGAACTCCGCCAAGGTGAAAGAAAGAAGTAAGGAGGTTGGATAGGATCTTTGAAGCGGCACGATCCGGCAATTGAAATTCATCCAGAAAGAGTATTGGAGAAGTAGAGATCATGTCCCTTGCAAGCCATAATAGAGAATGTTCTTCATCTTGGCTTCCGCTTCTCGGCATAGCCGATGACTCAGTATGCCTTTCCTTACGCAGTTGTTCTAGCCTTGCAAATGTCTCGAGCATGAAGGTGTTGAAATGCCACCGTCTCTTCTTGCCGTTGGGTAAGCAGTCGGCTAGTAGGTCTACAAGCAGACTCTTCCCTGTTCCTACCTCTCCGTATAGAAGTAGACCCTGAGGTGATTGCAACTGTACAGCGGATTCATGACTGGTCAGCCTCCTTGTGAGCGCCATTGCATCTGCCTTTGCCTTCTGCTCTCGCAACGATGAGAAGATCCCGTGGCGTCTTCCATTATTCTGCTGTTTCCTATCTTCCGCCTCAGCCGGATCAATGGCAGGCTTTTTAACAAGCCGATTGATCTGATCTAGCCGGTGGCTGAAGTCGACCTTGGGCGAGTAGTCCTTGAGGCGATAGTAGAGCTTTTGGAGATGGAGCGCGAGACGATGTTGGGCTGGGTCCGGGTCAATTCGTTTCGTAGCGAGCAGAGCACGGTATAGGACGAGCGGGTTGGTGATTGTAAGGCCTGTAGACGGAGATAATGGTGGCATAAGGGAAATGGGTGTTAAATTTGTAGTTGTCTTGGCTGCTAGGGCAAGAAGCCCGTTATCGATACGTCTAATGACAAACCACTCAGCCCTATGGCCAAGCGGGCCTTGGCGGGGGCATCTCCTACTATCATGCCTCCTTCCAAGCTGTCGTGATCACCCCATATCAAAGCACAACCCAACACAAATCTTGCAAAACATCACTGATTAGTCGAGAAGTCCTACGCTATTGCTCTCTCCCTATCCATCTCACCCACAATCAACTTCCTCAAACCCTCAAACCCCTCGCTCCTCCGTCCACACCTGACCCTCCTCGGCCTCTCCTCCGATCCCACAAACTGCATTGGCAAGATATCCTTGAACCGAAACCCTTTTCTCCTCCACCAGTACCATCTCCACCGCCTTCGCAAACTTAGCCGGATGCGCCGTTGCCAGCGCCACCTGATGTGCACCCTCCGCAGATCGCAGCGCCGCAGTTACCGCAATTGCAGAATGTGGATCTAAAATAGAGCCCTTGGGCCATCGATAAACATTTCGGATGGTGGCAATCGTCTCTACATCCGATACCCGCTCCGCTGCGAAATCTGCGCGTATGGCATCCAGCACTTGTTTCTCGACGCTGAATCCGCCGTTGGTCTTTAATTGAGTCTGCCATTCTTTGACTTTCCGACCCGCTCTTTCTCTCTTCTCTTGTGCGCTGTTGGTGTTTAAGCTGTAGACGTCGTGCGCGACGAACCAGAGCAGTCTTTCGAAATTGCTGCTTACAAGAATGTCCATCGAGGGCGATAATGTTTGCTTGACTCCCTCAGGGTGCGCTGTTGCCCCATCCTGTACAAGACCCCCTGCTGCCGCGGCGCCGTGAACGGGGTTCTGCTCGTACGTGCCGGTCTGCAAGAAACGGTGGAAGATGTCGTTCTCATTGCACGCGATGATGAGCTTCGAGACGGGCAGGTCCATCCGCTTAGCTAAGTACCCGGCTAGGATGTCGCCGAAGTTTATGGTGGTAGATTCTGAGTCGACGTTTCAGTTCTTGGGTAAGCGTGGTGAACTCGTACGAGGCATCTTTCGCGTAAGGTGTGCGTGGGAAATGTCTTTTGACTCCAACCTCGACTCTTGAGAAGAAGGACTGGATAAACACTTACCCTGTGGGAACGACGAAACGGATCTGATCAGTCGAGGCATTATATGTGACAGAGCGAACTAATAAAAAGTAGGATGCAAAGTAATACGTTATCTGAGCCAGTATTCGTGCGAAGTTGACAGAGTTTACTAGTCGAGGCAAATATTAGTCTTAGTACACCATGTAGACTGAATCTTCAAACAATACCAGCGGCAAGTCTCACACTTGAATTGATCAAAGGGTCATTGAAAAGGTCTTTCACGAGGGCCTATTGAGTAGCGTCAAAAGCGACGTTTTCAGCAGAGGCAGGAGATGTGGTACTTGACAGTCATCAAATGTCCCGTCAACGCTCAGTCAATGCACTACAGACTAGTCATTAGAAGTCTCCCACTGTAAGTCCATCAAGGAGCACAATACGAGTGTTGGAGGACTGGTGACATACCATTTCTATCGGTCACTGTTGCAAATCCGGAAGTCAGCGATTCTCTATCAGAAGTAGAGAAGAAGCCAGGAAGCATCTTTGTCGACCTTCCACTCCCGAGCCATATTGCAGGGATTGGCTCTAGGATTGGGACTGCTGAAAAAAACGGCCGTAACTACCCACCCGTTGTCATCTGTGCCTCCTGTATTGGGCCCACCTGGGTTCGGAGTCAGCATCATCCACTCAAAACTTTAAAATCTGTTGAACTGAGGCACAACCTGAGAGCTTTGATTATTCACCAGCCCCCAAAATCCGAGCTGCAAAAAGAGCGGGGGCGTACCTTCCCTGTCGGATACTTGACGAACACCGAGACATCTTTCTTGCCTCTCAAGCCGTATATCGCGGCGCTTCCAGTGTCGCCACTTGGCGCGCAAAGGACTGTCAAATGCTCCCGATCTTTGCCCGACTTTCCTTCGTTCCTTATGACCCGGAAGAACTCAAATAGGTTCCTGTTCAAGGATTTGGAGTCAGCAAGATTCAGGACTCAGCGTATCACATGGAAGGAGGATAGCAGGCTCTACAGGGTATATACACCAAGAACTGCAGTGCCTGCAACAGTCGACGTTAGAATCAAGGGTTGTTCGGCTATGAGGGTTCTCATACGATGTCTTTGAAGGCAAATGTCTCTCCATGACACAGCTCCAGCAAATGTATCGTTCTGGCATTATTCAGCGTCACCGTAGGCGTTACGCTCGGAGCTCTAATGGTCGAGTACGACCGGTTGATGATGTTTCGAAGGGCCACGGGCTCGATTTCGCTTGGGGCAATGTAAAGACTAAAAAATTGGAACGCGAGCTCAGAGAAGCTCATATGAGACCCATCATCCTGCCAGTTTGACGGCAAGGAGGGAATGTCTTCTGGGAGAAACAGCCCCTGATCTGTAGCCAGTCCCTTTAAGACTGTCTCTTCGAAGGAGAACTGCGCATTGTTAGCGTTGGTGAGTGACTTGAGAGGTCAACATACACCGTAGGAGCCGCCACGCGTGGAGAGATAGCGCTGTGATGTTGTATGGGACGACATTGTATGTGAAGTGAGAAAGCCTAGCTATTGAAAAGGGACTAGGGGATCGAAGATGACAGCAGCAACAGGTCGGGGGTTTGTCGAATGGCAGAGCTTGATGAGGGTCCGACTGCAATCAGTCCAGCTTGAATTCTGCTGATATCCTGCAATATGCGTGAGTCCTGGTCAGCGAGTCATGAAGCAGCAATCATGATGGTCATCGATCGAAAAAAAAGAAGAGTGCAACAAACCGGCTGAATCGTCAAGGTAGATAAACAATGTATCCTATGACACTATCTTCGAGCAGGTCTGCTAGAATGTGCAAAGTAAGAGAAATGAGCTGGGTTCCTCAATCTTTGGTTAAGTGCAAAAATCCCGACAATCTCGGCTTGTCCAAAAACGTGGCCAGTAATCGTCTTACTGATTAATGTGGCATGAATACTGAGATCTTCAAGCAGCTGCCAGCAATGATGCACCTTGACTATAAAAATTGTTATAAGAAGACCTGCAATTGCTGAATGTGGAAGCAAGGGAGTTTAATGGCCTTGGCAAACACGCAACAAAGTAGGTAAAAATTAATTGGCCGATCTGCCAAGAAGACAGAAATCTGCCCCGATCTCACCCCCGATCGAGCATCGGGTGAGCGCACCGCTGCCCTATTTTCGCGCGACTTGGGTGACCGTCGCGCGACCCTGGGTGATCCTGGGTGATTGCACTCCCTCGAAGAAGGCGAGCAGGGGGGTGCTAGATCCCTCTATAAAATGAGCAGATAGAAAATACAGTCTTGAAACAAACCTCTGAGGTTGAGTACCTCGCGCAAATTCGGCAAACCAAGCGCTTAAGGATCGGGTTCGAAAATATAGAGGAAGCATCCTGCCTGAAGTTGGCCTCCCATACCTTTATTGTTGCCTAGCGCAGGTCTCTGATCAGTTCTGTAGCAGCTCAATATCAAATACAGGGTTACTCACACTCATTGTAACAGTTCGTGAGCACTGCCTCGCACCACCAATCGGACTGGCTACTGTTCCCCAAAGGCTGCCCCACCGTAAACGTTTCGGTACTATCCGGATACGCGCATTGCGGTATCGCACTGATCGTCATATTGAACCCCTTTTCGTTACTCGCCGGTCCGCCGTTGCCGTCGTCGGAATTGTTCTCTTGGCTGTCTCCGCTCAGAAGGCCGTTGTGTGGCGGTGCTAAAAGCGATGCCAGAGTGAGGTGACCGTTGTTGTCGCAGAATGCATAAGTTTTCGAGTTGACGTCGCTGGCGTCGGAGTATTTGCCTATGGGGCTGGGAGCGCAGCTCGGGAGGCCGATGTTGGTGATGTCCGCGATGGAGGTTGTGGGCGAAGCTGGTGTGGTAGTTGTCGTTGGCGGAGGTGGCGGAGGTGGCGGAGGGGTACTGGATGATGATCTCGTTGATGTAGGTGTGCTTGATGGGGCTGTTGCGGTCGTCGACTTGAGCAAAGTGGTCGCCCCCAAAGTGGGGCTTTTGGCGACTGCATTTGGAGCAGGAACACTAAGGACCTCACCTGGTTGCAAGTCATTGGCGGAAATCCCAGGATTCGCGGCCTCCAGGGCAGCGACGGAGACTCCTTGCTCGGCGGCAATTCTTGCTAGAGTATCGCCACTTTGGACATTGATTGCGTTTATTTGTTGAAGGAAGACTGCAGCAATGATGACGAGATGCGCCACGAGTGTGTCCTGTTTGATCGAGGAAAAATGCATCTTGATGGGGAGACGAAAAGCCTACACAACTCTCGTTTCTAGAAATTTACTCGCATCTGACGTGAAGAAAGCTTTCTTGAGTTGATTTTAGTTATCAAGTCCAAACGAGGGAAGTTGTAATTGTATATCTATGCCTGTGAGAATGGTCTCTTTGACCTTTCGTGATGCCCGAATCCATTGTCTCTTCTTTCGTCTCTTTCTCGAGATAAGAAAGATATTAATTGTTTGATCTTACTAAAGCGTAGCTACTTTGCTTTCGCTATTCTTGTCTTATGGGAGATAAAGAAAATGAATGGTTAAGTACGAAAATGACAATGAAGCGCAGCATCTGTTCTGCATAAAGAAAAGAAATCAACGCACCTCATTGAATTCGCTTGTGACCCTTGATACTCTTCTTTCTCCGTTTTCCTTATTTACACGATCAACTTGTCTACTTACATATCTTCTTTGTTTTTTATGTCCTGTATTTATCATAGAGCGACGGACCAGGGATCAATCAGGTAGCAAGCTTATTTCACTGACTGGCCGACAAGGCTTTTGAAAAAGGCCTCAAAGGAGTTCAAAAAGCAGCACGATGACAGAGTGAAAAGGCATGCATGGACTGATCAAGACACGTCTAAAACGGCTATGGATGATCCACATCTAGCCGTCATTTTACGTAACTGATCATCGCGCCCTTTAAATCGAAAACGGACCTGCTTGTCACCATTTCCCCCATTCTCTTGATATGTTCCCACGTAATTTTTCTCTGGAGACGCCGTTTTTCATGCGTTCCTTAGTGATGACCACGTCTAGAAGACTCGCCGAATTGTTCGATAGGGTTTTCTTGGCCTAGGAGACGAGAGGCAGTTCGATCTGGTACGCGGAAGAACTCGTACACTTCGTGTTTGGTCGGAAGAGTGGTGGGAATCGCCGTATTAGTGTTTTTCTTCACAAGGCTTTTGGCCTTACGTCTCTAGAGCAGGAGGGCCACATGCAATGAAAATACAATAGATATATTGAGTGCAAATCATGGAATGTTGCAGTCAGTATGGTAAGAGGCCGGCTGTAGAGATGGAATAATAGACTGGACATTTCGATATTTGCTTTTATTTTGCTGCTCTATCTCATCAGCTGCATACATTTGGACGTTGAATTTGAGTGTGTAGCTCTCTCAAGCTAAGGACATGCCGTCAGACCAGACTATCCCTATCATTATTCCAACGCTGTTAGGCCCCAGAATATGTATTCCAAGCTCACTTGCGACCGAAAACCTTCTTCAATCCGTGCTTCATCCCCTGCAAGGCGTCCTTACGCGGGGAGTAATGATTATTGGCTTCATTGGGTTCCGGTCTGTACCGCATTGAGAATTCATCACGCAGTCCCAGGGGAGTCGGCGGCGGAGCGATCTCCCATTTCTGTTCGACAGTAGTGGCTATGCTGAGACTGCGTCTATGTCCGAGACCGCTGCCGTCTGGTCTTACAGTGGTATCGATAGACGTGGAGATGCTGTTGCTTCGTTTGTGAAGGCGAGAGCGTTGAGGATTGAAAATCACGGTAGAAAGAGCGCGCTCAATGCCTTCATTCAGGTTGGGACGTCCCGAAGTGCTGAGACTTCGCCTGTGTAGGCTAAAGCGACCAGGGGTGCGCTTGGTGGGAATGTGAAATTGGTCAACGCCTGTATTTAGGGTAACCGCCAAGTCTTCTTTGCTGGGTGTCTTCAGGTTCAAAGAGAATGGCGTAGAAGTGTCACAGGTGGATGTGAACGGATCATTTGCCCTTTCGGCGGACTCTTTCGAAGACAGTATGGAGTCGGTCATCGCGGCAGTTGGAAGGTCGGGGCAGCGCGCCTTATGATAACGAGCGAACATACTGGAAACCGAGGCTGAGCGTCGGTAATTTCTGTTACCGGTAAAATCACTGAAAGACGAGCTTGGTGTCATTGTGGTGCCACGAGAATTAGGTACGTTGTCGACGGATTGGCCAAAAGATGAGCTTGGTGTCATCGTCATTCCGCGAGAAGTAGGTGAATTGCTATGGAAAGATGTGTTTGGGGTCGGAATCGTGCTGGTAGGAAGGGTAGCCGATGATGAAGGTGTGCTCGAAGAATTACTACGTCCGGGAAATTGTGGAGTTGAGGCCCAAGAGTTGTATGCTGCAGGCGATCCAATCGCCGGGTAGTAGCCCGTCGTTGATGGCAAGATCGAGGGCTGGAAGATAGAGGACGGCATCACGTCTGGCGACCCAGCCGCCGAAGCGGAAAGATGGCTCGTTGCTGACGGCGAAGTAGAAGGTAGGCAGCTTGTGTTTTCCAGTGACGGTACGAGCGTGGTGTCGTTTGAAGACCTCAAAGTGGACCAGTGAGGGGTGAAGGGCCCCCCATGTTCAGCTTCATGACCTTCCGTATCATCATCATTGCATGTATATCTCGGTACTGTATCATCTGTCACCTTGCCGAGCTGCGGTAATGGATGTTCTTTCATGGATATCTGAGTGACAACGCTCTCGGCATCTTGAGCTTCGGGTTGAAACAATGAACGATGCTGAATGGTAATCTGATGGCTGGAGCTGTCCCCTACTTCAGCTTCATGACTTTCGCTGTCATCGTCTTCGAAAACATATCTTAGTGAGGTATCGTTAAATATTCTGCTAGGCTGGTATGATGGACGAAAGAATGATTTGGACCGCAACAATGGATGGATATCCGCTTGAGACTGGTCTTTTGGTGAATCAGACCCGGTTTGGAAATGCGGTTGAGACTCTGCGGTCTTTCTCATTTCTGCCAAAGAACCTGCACAGAGACGCCCTTTTCCACGAGTAGCATCTTTCAACTCCGCCATTGTAGTAGCCGATAGAATTGATTCGGAAGACTTTACGTCAGTAGGGCGGTGCCTTGATGGCTTGGTCGATTCAAATTGCGGCTTGCTGGAAGGGCTGATCGTCAACTTTAATGTGGGCAGAACACGCGGTGAACTCAACGATAGGCTGGATGGTTCGGTCTGAAGCCGTTGGAGTGCGAGCATGCTGTCGCGTCTTTCGCCTGCCCCGATTAATTTTGGAAGATCGAGATGTTCGGCGGACCCTGGAGCGAAGTGTTGAGGCTGGTCTTGATCGAGCGTGAAAATGCTTGTAAGTGGGTCTTCCTCGAGAATGTCCTCGAGTGGGCCTGACGTCTTCCAGAACACGATGTTACTGTCAGTATCGGCCTCACTGTCCTCGGATGTCACTGGCCCAATGCCCTGAAGTGTGTCGTTTTCACTATCCTCGAATGTGTTCTGACAGCCAATCTCACGATCAATGCTCCCCACCCCAATATTTTCAGATGGGCTTAATGCTTTCGACGAATCAGGATTCTCATAGAGCGCGTCGGCCAATACGTGGATGCGTAGTTCTGCTTGGTGTGCATCCTCATGTGTGACTTTGTAGCGAGGTGGTGAATTGCTTAGCGCTCTCTGCGGGCTATCCTTATAGAGAAGACGTGTACCATCTATTTGCGCATAAAACCCATCCTGTTCTTCGCCGTGAAAGTGAAAAGTAGAAAGTTCGAGGCTCGCGTTTTCAAAAGCCAGCCCGATTGGCAGTTTGCCATGTGCTAGAGCGGGATAAAACTCCGAACTAGCGTTTCCAAGTGAATTTTGCTTATCACTATATTTCCGAGCAGAAAGAGTCAAATGGTTCTCCTCATCACTCTGCTGTTGCATTTCAGCATGGTCGAGGTCCACACTCTCCTGTCGGTATTGACAGTCACTTGGTTGCTGAGGACGTGTGAAGCTCTGCTGTAGGGCAGCGAGGGGCTTGAGGCTCACACTGTCTAGGTGATCTTGCCTTTCGCCGTACTGTTGCAAAAGCCGATTACTCTGCTGCTCTTGGAATGCAAGCGGCTTGAGACCCTCACGCTCCTGTTGGTGTTGACCGTCGCCGTGTTGTTCAGAAGGTACACTCTCGCAACTAGCGGTCTCTTGCCCTCCTCGATTGCCATTGCCGCCAAAACGAGGCGTCCGTTGCTTTTGACTGCGCAGAATCAAGGGGTTGGGAAGCTCTTTCTCTTGCAAGACAGAAGTACTCAGTCTCCCCCTATGAAAATCGTTCATAGCAACTTCGATGCCTAAAGGCCATCCATCCGGGCCTTTGAACTGGGCAGACGTTGGCGAAATTGGAGTTGACAGAAGATTGTCGGTGCAGTGCTCGATCCGACCAGGCGATTCGAACGACTCCGAGATCTCAGAGTAGGCAGGTGATCGTGATCTCGGGCGCAGAGGAGGCCTCCAAAAAGTACCCTCCCACTCGGAGGCGGGTTCTGACTGACTGTTGGCTAGATCTTTGACCACTCTGTCAAGCATGTCATTTAAGAGCTTGGCTTTTGCGTCAAAGTATTGGGAAGAATCCGGGTTTGGCATGGTGCGGTCAGGCTTCTTGCCGTTGAAGGCTTTCAATGTATCTGGGGCTTCATCATGTTGCGTGAAGTCCTTGTGGGGTGGATAGCGTTGCAATAAATCGATTGTAGTCATGGCGTACTGTGCTGTAGAGCTACATAGTAAAGAATGGTAGCAAGTACAGCCATCCAAGTAAAGTGGGTATATGGGCGGGAGGTGATCAATTTGGGTAGCAAGACGGAACGTTGTCAAAGTGAGGATTCGGTTTAATGATTGCTTTATGCATGGCCAGTAACCTGGTGGGACCAAAGCCAGGTGAGGTGAAAAAAGTCATGAACTTGGGCAGCGAAAAGGAGTGAATTGCAGGATTTCCTGACATACCACATGGAAGAGCCAACAAGCTGCATGAAGACATTCGCTGCCATCAAAAATTTTCCGAATGTCCAAACAGAGATTTATTTTCGGATCCTTCCCCTAGTTTACAGCAATTTGTCACTAAACGCATCTCCTACTGTGGTGTCCATGCACGTCCTATGGGTGAACCTGAGCTAACTAGTGGACAACTTTTGGGCTCCCTGTACCGTCAGACTCTAGGGTCAAAAAGGCGCTCCGAACATACCAGTTTATCGTGAGTCATAGCCAAGGTAAGTGTCTCAGCGAATATTCATGCTATTCCCAAGTAGAAGCCTCAAACAAAGTCAAAGGTATCGCCTCCCTTTTCCCTGAGCATTGGTAAAAGTCTTCCAGTGCCAACGATTCGCTCCAGCTTGAGTATATCTAGTTTTGAGAATAAAGTCCTTACACTTGTTTCTCGAGCATTTAGCTTAGCCGATGAAATGCTAGAATCCAAATATAATCCAGCTATTTCCTTGTAGAAGATTGGATTCTCTGGCAGCCCATACATGATGACTCTTTTGACGCCTTTGAGATGGTAGCGTCTGAAATGATGAGCTCGCTCAGTATAGAGCAGTACCGAGTGCCTACCGGAGAAGAAGTGGCTACGAGCTCGGGCAACGTCACGGACAGTAGTATACTCAGAGATTGAGCCGAATGAGATATCCTGTGTATCTGACGAGCTGGCCAGATAGTTGCGGACCCGTACAAAGTCGGCATAAGACGGAAGGTATATCAGCACTCCTTCGCCTGCTCCGGCACCATGCTTCGAGTGTTTTATTAAGGAGGGTAAGATGGCAGTGCTAAAGTATTTGAATCGGTCATCTGGTTCAGTGACAGGGCTCGTGACATCCAATCGCGAGAAGGTCTGCCTCGTAGAAACAACCAAGTCAATCATGGCGCCGTCCTCCTCCTTCAAATATTTCATCTTTCCAGCAACGTTGAGCATGTGATGACTGAAGAGCCTATTGAGTGACGGGAAATTGAAGCTGGAGGACAAGATGGTTTGTCGGAGGTACTTGGCGTTGCCATCGAGATACCAACCTCTCACACGGCTGAAGTCACAGCCGTGGGCCTCCTTTGGTTGAAGGTTAAGATGCTCAAAGATGTACTCCACATGCTCCCAATTTTGCATTAGCATCGCGTCCGCCTGATCAGCCACCACGATTTCAACGGAGCTGAGAAAGTCATGGTCCTGTTTTTTTGGATCATCTGCTCCAATTGCCATACGCAGCCCTAGTGGACTGGCAAAGATGACATCCGAGTTGTAGAATTGTGCGAAGAATTTGATCGTCTTACGAGTGAATTTCAGACCCAGCCTAAACATGTCGTCGTCGTTGCCAGCGAAGAGTTCCCGAAAGTCTTCTGGCTTGTCTTCAGAGAAACGATCGTCCCCTGAAGCATAGGAGTCCTGGAACCTTTTCCTGTTCTCCTGCTGTTCGGGTTCACATAATGATATTATGGTATCAATATACTTGACACATGAATTCCTCGTGGGCAAGATCACAAGCACCTTGGGACGGGTGAAGCCTTGGTCTCGAAACTCTATGTCTTCCCTATCTTCCTTCGCAAGACGCGCATTATCTTTGATTACTTTATCACGTGTCTTGAAGACGTGATTCAATACATGCAGACATGTCAGCTTTCGCAACATCTCCGCATTTTTCAAAGTCCTTTGGGGAAAGAGCACATCTCTATAGTTGAAGATAGACGACGCAAGTCTCCCAGTCACTCTATCAAGAGATGGCAATAATTTCTTCGCCGGCCCCTGTAGCTTTTGCTTCAGCTGAAGATCGTCTGTATCTGAGACAATGCTCGGGCCGTGGACAAGGGCTGAACTTGAGACCTGGGGAACTTTCAAAAAATAGCCTCCTTCAAGCCTCGAGTCAGAAATCCTGGTTGCCCAACTATCATTTTTGACATCCTGGATTTCCTGGGACAGTTCTGTATCCTCATGTTGTGCAAAGTGCTTTAGGAAAGGATCATAGTCGTCTTCGAGATCATTTGATTCCTCAGCGCCATCAACACCAAGGTCCTCGGCATCTTCGGGCTCATCAACTCGATCTAGTGCGTTCTCTGGTACTTCAGTTTCCAGAGAGACTTCAACCTTCTCGACCTTGCGTCTTTTTCGCGGTGGCTCGCTATCCGTGCTCAGGGATTGTAGAAGTGCGCTGTATGATTTGACGACGTCCTTCGGAACATCTTCATTGTCGCTGTCACTCGAAGATTTGGAAACCATCTCAAGCTCTTCTGACCCATCTTCAAAGCTCTCCACGTCATTTTCAGGAACGTCTCCAATCTGTTCTTCGACCCGTGTCGAATAGAAAGCATTCTTCCTCCCTGCTCTTGCTGCATGACCATCGCTGCCTCTACCCCTTCCGCGACCTCGAAAAGCGCGACTTTTATCTCCTCCCCGTTGATTTTCGCTTCCCCAACGAGGTTTTGACCGGTTGCCGGAAGAAAGTGCCATGAAGAGAACGAAGATTTTGTGGTCGCTTTTATGTCCAGCTTACTAATCTGCCAAGATTTAACAATTCGTCTCCCACAACTTTCAGTTGCAAAGCTGCCCTCATTTGACAATTTTTAGTTACGCGCAAAGTGAAAGTACACCGATCAGAGGGCCGTTGGGATCGCAAAGTCGGAGCACAAAGACGCACACGCTCGGTCAATCTAGAAATTATGGTGGAAGCCGACTCCTTCCTCCATCTTGCAAGACCTTTAGGTCCTGCAGCAGTAGGCTCGCAGCCAACCACAGCTCCCTTGAATGTCATAATACAACCTCAGGTATTTGTCGCAGGGCTCACGGTTGTTGAAATTCCTAGCTGACCGTATGCTAGGCAATCTTCTCCATTTTAGATCATTCGCTCCGCCGCAACGCAGACCAAGAACGCGTAATAGGAACCCTGCTCGGCGTGCGCAGTGAAGATGGCCAAGAAGTGGAGATCAGAAATTGCTTCGCAGTTGGGCACACAGAAACACAAGAGCAGGTCGAGGTCGACATGGAGTACCAAAAGCAGATGCTAGGACTCCACCTTAAAGCCAATCCTAAGGAAGTGCTCGTCGGCTGGTATGCTACATCAGCAGAGCTCAATACGTTCTCGGCACTCATTCAGAACTTCTACGGCGGGCAAGGTGACGGAACGTGGCCGCATCCTGCGGTTCATCTGACGATCAGTACGGATGCTGGAAAGGAGATCGAGGCTAGGACGTATATTTCTGCACCTGTCGGAGTGACAGCTGAGAGGGCAGCGGATAGTGCAGCTTTCACGCCAGTGCCACACGAGATTCGATATGGAGAGGCGGAGAAGAGTGGACTGGAGCTGATCTCGGGAGCAAAAGATAATAACGACAGAACGGCAAATGTCCTGACGGACATTGAATCTTTGGAAAAGGCTATTGAGGAGGTCCTTGCAATGCTCGAGAGAGTATCGAAGTACGTCGAAGCTGTCATAGAAGAGGAAGCTCCACCATCGAGTGCGCTTGGTCAATTCCTACTCGATGCTCTGGCGCTGGCGCCAAAGGTAGACCCGGAGGACGTCGAGCGGGATTTGTAAGTCTAAGCACGATTTTCGACCTTGTTACACATACTAACCTCTTGCAGCAATAATCACATTCAAGACGTCCTTGTCGTTTCATATCTCGCAAACACTATCCGCACACAGATCGACCTCTCAAACAGGCTAGCGACAGCCGCGTTGACGATGGGGACTGGGGATGGTCTGGGTGGCGCTCAAACTAACGGGACGGCTTCGGAAGGCAATCAGAGAGGGCAGCGCGGCGGAAGGAGTCAAAGAGGTGGAGGAGGTCGAGCGACTGAATCATGATGTTACGTATAACGCACTGCATGCAAAGAGCGACAATAGAAGTATAAAATCTGGCTAAGAACTGGAATAGCATACGGTCTTCCCTGTGCGAAGTGGCTGAAGAATTGGTATCAATAACCAACTTGACATGCAAAACTAGCCGTCAGACTCTGTCGCTTCTATCTTCTGTTGGGAATTGAGCACATATTCCGCAAGCATTCCACCTGCAATTCCCCCTCCAGTCAACCATGCTCCGTTTGTGAACCACCACCAACAATTGCTTATTTCGTTTAGCCTCACTTTCCATATCATGAAGCCTAACGTAGCAGCTGCAGAGCCACAGCTGCCTATGAAGAAGACTGGACCTACACCTGCTGCTGTTCCAGCCGCGGCCAGCAAGCCGACCTGCACAACTGCCAGGCCGGACAAGACAGCCTTCGTCTCTTTCTCGTGTCGTAATGCGATACTTTTGATGCCCACTTTGGCATCATCTTTGATGTCCATATGGGCATAGATCATATCGTACGATACGGTCCAGGAAACACAACTTGCATATAGTGCCGCCATGGCTTTGAGGACCGCAGAGTCCGCTAGCGGATCCACTCCCAAGGCTGGGAACCCCATAAACGCACCCCAGGAAAAGGTCAGCCCCAGCACAAATTGCGGATAGTGTGTGACTCTTTTAGCAAGAGGATATGTGGCAACCAGCAAGAGACTGGGTATGCCGTAGTAAAGGCACGATGCCGGAAACTGCAAAAGGACGCCTAGACCTGCTAAGAGTTGAAAACCGGTGAAGATCAAAGCTTTGAAAGGCGTGACTGCACCGCGAGCTATTGGTCGAAGACGTGTACGGGCCACGTGAGGGTCCAGGTTGCGATCCCAGAGGTCATTGATGGTACAACCAGCACCACGCATTATCAGCGCGCCGCTGAAGAAGCACAACGTAGTGGTTGAGACGGGGAGTAGGCCAGACGCTGTATAGGAGGCTGCTAGCAGCGTTGAGAAGAGACATGGAAAGAAGAGGTAATATGTTCCGGCTGGCTTGTCGAGGCGCATTAACTCCGCGTATGGTATCCAGGTCCCAGGCAGGTGAGAGATGAACCCCGTCTGAGGAGCTTCGTAGATTGGTAACACAGTTTTAGAGGAAGGTACAGCAGGTGTAGCTTCACTGTGAGTCATTTTGGAAATCTCCGCATACTGTATTGGCGGTAAACCAGCAAATTTCTGGTCTAGAGCTGCATAGGCTCGTCGCTGCCTCGCCAAGGTCGTAAGGAATCTTTGCGTCGAAGAGGTAACCTCTGTGGTCCAAGACGTTGAGCAGCACAGGTGTCTGTTTCTGCAGTGTTGTGAAATGCCTAGGCTGCTCGAAACGAATATGCTACGTTGCGTGGAGCATCCCTTCATTGCCTTCAAGTGGGACCGCCCACTCATAGCTAACATCCTCGCCTGGTGCCGAAGAGTTAGGAAATGACTGTTCAGCTCTTTTGATTCTGTATGTTTTGGAGTCCACAGCGAAACAATAGAAAGCGGGCGCACTCGAAGTGATCAAAAGTACTGGGAGAGAGACGAAGCTCTTCGATACCCTACATTCTACATCCCATTCTACTTAAGAGATCTCGTGCTGTACTCCGCAGAATCGCTCGAAATCTTATACGCGTCTATCTCGATTGAAGAAGAACTTTTGGAGGCGAAGGAACAAAGAAGTAAAGTATTATTTGAATGCTTGAAGCAGCAAACTGTTAGTACTTCTGACCTACGGCAACGAGACAGTCTCAAGATGGGAACGAAGACGGGTTCTCAGACAGTTTTAGCGAACACTTGTGAGATAGCAAGAGGATGAAGCTACCACTCTCACCAGGCGCGAAGGTACCCTTTAGTCTCTACCTTGTACTGGTCTCGGCTTGGCACGCTAGCTACCTTAGGCTCTAGACGCGTGGAGGAACATTGAAGCTCTGCCGAGTTCACTCTGAACTTTTGATACAATTCGTAAACACTACGAGCTAGCCAACTGACCGCCGACGATCAAGATTCCTCGGAGCTTGGTTTTCGAGACTACCGTACCCATTCTGTCACTGAGAGACCCAGCAAGTCTCATTCCAGGTGCTGCGCGTGGGGTATTGCAGTTGAGATGAGCCGACTGAGCGCCCCGCCCAACTTCTTCCGTCGTGCCATCACCCTATAACCTTGCTTGGCCACCTCCAACTTGCGGGACGAATTATCGTACATACGCATAGACTCAATCCGGCCCTCTCTTTCGCAAGCAATATGGTTGCTCAACGACCTTCAGCGGCTTTCGACCCCATTCCCCCAGACCTCGATCTTGCCTCTCTAATTGAGGATACTCCAAACTTTGAGTACGTAACGAGGATATCATGTGAAATGATCGAGGCCCAAGGCTTAGAAGCCTTTGACAAATTGGTCTTGCTGCACGTCATCCTTGGAGGAAAGCCCCTCGTCGTCGAAGGTTTCCAACACCGCCTAGATGAGTGGACCTTCACAACTCAATGGCTGCAAGATAACTGTGGAAGAAAATGTAAGTGTAATCAGTACCTGAAGCATTCAGCTCCTAATTTTTGCCTTATAGTCGAACAAGCACGCAATCTGAGCAAGCAGCAGAACATGACCCTCTCAATTGCTCATTATCTTAACAACATGTCGAAGCTCACTGACCAATGGAACCGACAAAATTACAAGGAACGCGATCGTCAGAGAATATATCTGAAAGACATTGACTGTCCTCAGATATGGCACGACAAGCTACAGGAACAGGTTCCGCCAAGCGTTTTCTACCTCAATGAAAGCATTGGTGATTTTGGCGGGCCAGGGTCAATAGAGGAACACAATTCAGGCAACATGAAAGGGCTAGGTGTCGCCAGAGCTGGGGACCTGATGAGCTGTCTTCCTCCGTCCATGAGAGCAGATAACATGATGTGCTATATCGGCCATGAGGGCACATACACACCTGCGCATCGAGAGATGTGTGCCAGCCTAGGACAAAATCTGATGGTGGAGACTTCAGGCCTCAAAGACGGACATGGCAAGCCTACGAAACCCGGTTCATCGATATGGTTTATGACGGAAACCAATGACCGACACACCGTGTCCGAGTATTGGTTAGCAACCTTGGGCCATGACATCGAGGTAGAGTCGCATTTTGCCCAAGTAAACGCCTGGAAAGCTGCACCATTCAAAACATACATCGTGGACCAAAGAGTTGGAGACTTTGTCCTCATTCCTCCGTTAGCTCCACATCAAGTATGGAATCGTGGAACGGTTACTATGAAAGTGGCTTGGAATCGAACAACAGTTGAGACCCTCGAAATGGCCATGCACGAGGCACTACCGCGAGCAAGAATTGTCTGCCGAGATGAGCAGTACAAGAACAAAGCCATTGTTTATTTTGCTTTGATAAAATACTCAGATCTCCTGAAGCAGGCTGATACGCAGAGACAATTGGCACCAAGTCATCACGCACGAATGGAAATTGACTATAGTCCGAAGATACGCCAGCTTCAGAAAGACTTCAAGCGCCTCTTCGCTCTATATACGACAATCCTGCTCTCTGAAATGCTGGCTCCTGTTTCTCCATCTGAGAAACGAGGTCAGTATCTTCCCTACGAGAGCTTCGTCACATGCTCATACTGTCGTTGTAACATTTTCAACCGATTTCTGACTTGTACCACCTGTATCATAACCTTGGAAAATGGGGACGAAGATACATATGACATCTGCATGGAATGTTTTGCCATGGGCCGCAGCTGCAGCTGTCTATCGAAGTACAAATGGGTGGAGCAATTTCCCTGGCAAGAGCTTGTACAGAAACATGACAAGTGGAGACACCAGATCATTAAATTCGAAAATGGTATAAGTGATAAGTCTCCTCAGCCGTTGGATGTGGAGAGAAGGAACTTGGGTAAGAAGACATTGGCTCAAGTTTGTCAAGAGCAATTGAAGATCCGACCGTGGAGTGATCCCGCAAATCCATTACCCTCGCTGACATCGTTCGAGAAAAGAAATCTACAAGAAGTCGGTGTTCCCAAGAAAGCGGATGACGAAATTGAAGTAGACGACGAAGGGAATATTAAAAAGCCAAAGAAACGCAATTTTGACAAACTTGGCAAGGAGTATGCAAGAGATCACGTTTCGCAACACCCAGAATACCGATGGAAGCTGGCGACCTGCACCAAATGCGATCGTCACTACGGCTATGGCAGCCTATTCCGTGGGTTCGACTTGATGCCATTGACTGTGATGGAAGATCCGAATTGGGAGTGTCCACATTGTCTCAAAATATGTTCTGTTGCAAAGTGTAGCACAGTTGCCGGGTTCAAACCATACGAACCCAGTGGTACAATGCTTGGACATGATACGAGGAAAGTCGCGGATCCAAGAAGCGTCGAGAGTCTTGTTGATTTCAGTGTTTCGAATGGGACATGGATCAAGAAGACCGGAGATGACCATCCACAAGACAACAGACGACTGAGTCGACGAAAAGACGAGGCGGAACAAATCAAGGCCAGAGATCCGGCATTGAATGATAATTATGTGGACGAAGAAGAACCCACTCGAGTGAACGGTCAAAGCCAACACCTCGATTCTGGCACCAAGTCTACGGAACCGGGTATCCCGATTGACCCCATGCTTAGTATGCATCAGCCCAGTGTGCACATGAATGGAAATTCGATGGAGAGAGGCACAGACACAAACCGCGTCCAATCGTCCAATCGAGCCCAGATCAGAGGCCGAGATAGGTCAAGCAGTGTATCTTCATCGGATGACGAAATGGACTGGGAAAGTAATCAACGAGATATGACCTCGGAAACTCGACGCCCTTACCACATGGCGCCAATGGCGAACATGATCAACCAAAACAATCAAGGCCAGCGTTTCACAAGCAATGGGATTGCGTACGAGTATCCAGATCCGACCATGTCTCAGTCCTCACCCTCAAAGCAACCAAGCAATTACCTGCAACCGAACACGCCAAAACAAAATGTGGGGAAACTAGTGGAGAGTGACGTTGTACTGCCACCACGACCTAACGATCCCCAGCCCCCTCACCTTACTCAGCTCGAGCAAATGCTTGAAGATGCAAAGCTAGGTGATCGGTACATTCGTACTGAAGCATCAATCACGGGAAAGAGCCTACGAGTCAAGTTGCTAATCCCCAAACCCAAATTAGCCACCGTCCGTGCCACTCACCCACAATCTAGAACAACGAACGAGATCCAGGCCATCAGGAAAGAAGCGCCGGTTATATTACAGTCAGACTTGCCCTCGATCGCTCCCGCCGAGGTGCCTACTGCGCCACCCAAGAAGAGAAGAACACGAGAGGAGCTGGACGAGGAGTTCTCAACTCGAAAGCGGAAAGCTCCTAAATCCTCGACAGCCTCAGCTCCGGCGAAAGAGACAAGGAAGACTTCGGTAAAGTATACCGAGCCCTCCAGTGACTCGGAGGTTGCTCAAGAGGAAACCATCTCGTTCGTGCCAGTCAACAAACCTCAGGGGCCGCGGCCGTTACCCAAGTATCTAGCCCAGCGACGCGAAGGCGATCGATCTCTTACAACGGACGAGCTTCCCAGTAGAAGGAAGTCTTCCCCACCTCAAGAGCCGCCAACCCACCACCCAAGTGCACCGGAAATCCAGCTCAATCATGATCTCGAATCTTCCCTCCCCCCGACTCAGTCCGCAACCAAAGCTCCAAGGCCACCTAAGCCATCAAGAGTCTCATTCGCAGATGGAATAGTGTCAGGGACGCAAGCTGCGGTTGAAGTACCCGAATCGAATACTGTTCCCGTGGGCTCTACGCAGAAACTCGCCGAAGAAAATCGCAAGGCCAAGCTAAAAGCTCTTCAGTGGGCAAACGACGAGGACCAGGAAGAGGAGTCTTCTGATTCAGACTCTTCTTCGACTTCAAGTGACGAGGATTCACCACGGAAGCCGAACGGCAAATTATTGGCTGCACCGAAATCCATATTCTCTATGGGGAAGAATATCAAAATCGTTGCGGCGGCAAAAAGTGCACCTACGATCGTCGAATCTTCCTTGAAAAAGAAGGGCGGCAGACCGAGAAAGTCAATGCCTGCTGCCTTCGAGAGCCCGGCTATGAACAAGGCCCCCGCTGTTCGAGGTCGGGGCAGGCCAAGGAAGTCAGTGCCTTGACAATGTACAACCGTCGATAAGAGCGATGTTCCCAAGACCTGTACAATATTTCGTGGCGCATTTACGGCACTTTTTCTAGAGATACCCGACGGGATGTTTTCCTATCCAACAAAAGTGTCAACACTCGGCTTGTGGAGCGGTGGAGCTTGGGGAGTGTACGACTGTCCGTGAGGTGCACATACGATCGGAAGAGATGTCCGAGGACAATCTTATGCTGATGCAACATTATAGAACTTGATAGTGCGATTCTCACATGGACATATAGCAATCAGACAGACTCATATATTATTGTCGCGTATTGTACTGATTGAGACTTAATCGTATGCTGTATTGCTAGAGCGGTTCTCTTCGGCTATAATCTCCCGGCGAGCAGCACGTCACCGAGATGAGTAGCAGTCCTCTTCCCTTATCATACACTCTGTGTTCCCTTCCATCTCGATATATACACGAGTGACACTTCCTCATCATTTCGCCCCTTTCGGTCTCCTTTTCCCTATATCCCAGCCCCATCCTCTGAGCACCTTGACGACCTTGGGAGTGACAGCAACCGTGAGCGGTACCCTGATGAATATGAAACTCTTATGGATCGCATACGCCAGCGCCAGTTGTGTCCAGATACCTAGCAGCGCTCGTCAGTCCACGTCTTCAATGACCGGCTCGGGGCAAACCCCACTAGCATTCTCGCTCTCGTTCCTCTTCTCCGCCTCCTTCACCCCGTGATCATACCCCGCCACCCCCACCCCATCCCCCTCCACAACCGCATACCCCTCGACCCCGGTCTCCCCCCCCGCCCCGCCTCCCACGGCCTCCCCCGGCGTCCGCGTCCGCCACGCCTCCCGGACCGACTCCGGGACCGCGCCCTTCACCCGCTCGACGAGCACGTGCTCGTAGCGTCCGATCCGGTCCGTGCCCAGGTAGCGCACGGCGGCGAAGCAGAAGGGGAAGTCGAGCGCCGAGAGCAGCATGTAGACGCCGAAGGCCGACCAGCCGTACTCGCGGGACAGCTTCCGCAGGCGCTGCGAGAGGGAGAGGGAGTGGGGGGGGGCGGGTTTCGGCGGGTCGGTGGAGTAGGGGCGGCGGGGCGGGGCGCGGGTGAGGGGGTTGGAGGGGGGCGGACGGCGGGGGGCGGTGCGGGTTAGGGTGTTGATGAGGGGGGGAGGGTGGGTTGGCCGGGTTCGGGATGCGGTGGTGAAGGTTTGTTGGAGGGCGGTGCGGAGGGAGGGGGAGGTGCGGAGGAGCTGGTGTGGCTTCATGGTTGGTGGATGGTTGTTGTTGTTGTTGTAGTTGTTGTCGTTATGGGGGTGTGGATGCTGTAGAGATGCTCGTCCTTGATGTAGTCACTGTCATCTTTTCGTCAAGGTGTCGGTGTCGGCCTGCGGTTGATGCCAAGAGATATTCTTTTTCGAGGTTAGTGCTCTACTCCGTAGAAGAGCCGGTTGCCGATAAGGCTGAGTCACGTGCATCGTCGACGTTGAAGACCTGGTGGACGGGAATGGGAGCGCTTCGACCCGCCAGAAGATCATACATGTAGAGAATTTTCAGCCTACATTATCTTGCATGTTAATCGCCATAAAGCGTTTCTGGCAGGCTATCTTTCCTACCCTGTCCCTTCGGGTTACAGACCCCAATCAGGCTCGTTCCTTTCTTCAACCCTGGATTTGCATGCTGCAGGTGCGTTTGGGTCTTGCCAGCGCCAATTCCCAGCGGCATTCCAGACTACGGTTCAATGCAAGGAATAGCATAGTGACCTGTACTCCGTACTAATAATGACTCCTCGCACCATGCATGGCTTTTTTGGCAAAGTCATAGGCCCGCTGCTAACGTCTCCCAGCGCCAGCGGATAAGAGAATTTGATGTGGTCAAAGCGTTTCGTTCATTGTTCTTAGCTGTAGCCTTACTCCGCTCCACGTCCTTTTCTTGGTGCCTCTTTGGTGCTGCTTCAAAGTGAGAGTTTTCTAACCATGAGTGGCCATGCTTGCGATGAATAATACTATCGAGGCACAGCAAGTTGTGTGTAGTAGTGGTGTACCTCAAAGAAATGGCTGAAGGAAAAGCTTTCTTACTTTTTTTCTCTCTTTTTTAGTTTTCAGAAGGTTTTCAGGGATGATCAAATTGTAGCGTTCGCTTCTGGAGAGGAGGGCTGGTGGAGTTCTGGTGCCACGTATAGTGTGAATTTCTAATAAGAATAGAGGTTGTCATAAATTCAGTAATTGATTGAGATACCTTACCTATCGGCACCAGCTCAATTCCGAGGTGGCGCTCGAAAGCGTAAAGTAAAGTAGAGAAAAGTAAAGTAAAGTAAAGTACGTGCATGTATTATTATTCTTCTCAGAAGTCTGACATTTAGGACTGTGGGGGGAAGGTGCAGCATTCTGCAGACTAGCCGAGTAGAGTTCATCCTTGTGGCTGAAGCTAATGCTGTCAGGTTTGTCCCCACGCCTCCCCACGGCAGTGATCAACTGCAGCCTCTCCTATAAGGGGAACTTCGGAGGGACAATTCAACACAAAGCGACATATCAACTGCTTGAGCCTCAATTCCAGCAAATCCAATATGGCAATGTCCACTACCCTCATATCCCTCCGACGCCGATAATGCATGCGGCCTCCGCAACGGGTAAAATGAACGACACCGTTCAAATAACATTATCACTGCTAAGTTTCGGTCGTGGTCATCTCGCTGCTTAGGCCTGCCAGGCCAAGCCAGGAGTTGTATACTGATTATTGGTGACTGGCTCTAATCCGTGTGCAAATTTAAACATTGAGCGTGAGCGGTGATTAGCTTTGGCTAAATGATTCTTTCATGCGAAGAGTCTAAAGGCTGGGAGCGATCATTTGATTCTAACCGGGATATGATTTGGTTGAAGGGGTTTTGACATGACGAGAATTCAGCGATTGGTGCGAGAGTGGTCCATAAAAGAGTCAGAGATACTCGAGGGTAGAATCACATCGAGCTTTGGAGGTGGGGGTAAAGAGTGATAGGTGTGTGTACTTTAATGATGTACTTACTTTAGGGATGTGATATGTGATAATGAAAACCCCGCAATAGCGCCAAATTTCTCCATTGGCGGCACGTGGAGTTTCTTCGGCGAAAGAGGAAAAATTCAACCTCCAACGACAACGAGTAGAAGCCTCATCCTCACCATCAACGGTTTAAACGTCTCCACGTAACCTCCACATGACACTCCGCCAAATTATAATTCTGGCTTCCTGAAGTCTGATTTAAGGGGATACTGACAAGAGGAATAGAATGGAAAAGGTGTATATGGTGTAAGTATGCAAAAGACGCGAGTCATCATCCACGGCTTGAAGTGGGGGATGGCTTGAGATAAGTATTTTACCGTATCTTTACTTACTTTAGCTCGTCTCATAATCCGTGCTGATTAAACATCCGCCTTGCCTTGCCTTGCCTTGCCTTACCTTGCCTTGCCTTGCCTCCTTTGCCCAGTCTACTCCAAGGGCATGAGTGAGTCTAAAACTCTCTACAACGGCGCCTACCCACCAATGTGCAATCATATTGGACTCGACTAATCTCGCATTCCTCATATATACTTTGCCGTACTTTGCCCTTCCCCTAAAAACCATTGCTCATTCTACCCTAACAGAGCTGAGACAATTTCTTCCCCTTGAAATCTTTTATCCGACCAAGGCATTAAGCTGCCAGGTAGCGTTGTCACATGCATCATGCAGGGCACTCCCAAAAAGAATATCTCCCGGACGGTTCAGGTGCCCAACCTTATACTTGCCTCAAGTCACCCTTTCCCCATACCCACATACCTTGCATATTTAAATTGCTTGCAGTCGACGCTGCACGGACCTCGTCCTGCTGTCAGACGGGCCTGACCGCTGTATCAGGCTCTGCTAGGTATGGAGCGTGCTTCCGTAGAGCGTCTACCAATGGCTAATGTAGTAGGTCTCTTCGTCCTTTCCACCATATGCGACCCGTTTGACCTTCCATGGGCCTTACATGCCTCACCATATGCTTTCCCATTATCCGAAGCTTCTAGGCGAGTCCAAAGCCTTGGATGTGTGATGGGCATTTAGTGGGTCATCTCATATCCATCCCTTTGTGCTCGCCTTGTTCTTCAACCCGTATATAGAACGCGTATCCGTCCCATTTGCCAACCCTCCGACGTATTCCTCTTTCTTCCTCCTCAGCAAGCTGCGTCGGCATCCCTTGATCCTGATTAGCCCTTTCGTTCGACGTTGACACCACAAAATGGGTGGCCAGGCTTCGAATCAACTAACGGTGGCAAACGCTCTCGAGATAGCCAAAGCCAATCAGAACGGGCAAATCCCTCCAGCCGTTACACAAACTCTTGAAAGAAACATTGGGGATATCTGGCGTCGTATCCAAACCCAACCTTCGACATATGTGATGAGAAAGGAGGAGTTCGCCGTGTTCACTTACTACCGCAGCCGTTATGACAATAATGCTGTGGCACAACAAGCCGTTGCCAGATTCTGGAATCATTACAAAGGCGACGCACCCCGAGTCGATGGCGCACGGTCATCTTCCAGCACGCCATCGGCTTCTGGCGGCCCGTCCTCCCCTCGGGGACAAGGTTCTTCTGGAGGCCGATAGGTCTCTGGCATGAGGTCTCCCGCGGGAACGCTGCATTATTGGCTCCCATCGTATCTTACCCGCACCTCTTCCGCCACTGGGACCAATCGCATAGGTCAAACTCTTCCCTCTACTTGGATTCCCTATCGCATCTCTTCGGCTCATGTTTGGCTCCACCGGACTATGGGTCTGCGTAAACAGCACGGCGGACAAGGTCACCCTGACGGCGGTGATCTACATTGTTTAACCGACACCACCTAGTCTAATTGCGCTCCTGAATGACTGCGTGCACCTCCATGACTGGGAAAGTCCTTATCCCATTCATGTTTCCCGCTTCCAAAGTCATCCTTTCTACAGGTCCCTGGACATGCTCTCGATTGAAGTGCGGTTGACGTCGTCGAATACGCCAATCAAGGCACACAGAGCCGAATAGACGCGTCCGAGCGGGCAATTCGCCGCCATTGGCTTACTGAGGCCTTAGCGTCCAAATTCCGACGCTCCGGACTCCACCTTTGCATCGATGAGCGTTTCTCCAGGCTACGTACAGAACTAGCGCGCGATCAACGGCACCAAATTTCACTACCCGCGCAACTGTTGCCCTCTGCCGGACATTTACAGCGTGTCTCTTAGAGGCCGTTATTCTTCACTGGGACCTCATAATTTGATCTCTCCTTGCTTTCAATATTGCTCAAATACGTCGATGGCTTCGCTATGATCGGCTCCGGACCAGGCTCATACGCACTTGAACTTGCGTCTATTGTCACCGCGGTGGACATGAAATTTCCTTCATAATTCTTCGGATGACAGGATTCTTGCATTACTCTAGCTCTGCAATACAACACCGTGACACCTCTAGTTTCAAAGGCCAATGCATTTGTGCCTCTATCAGCAGTCGAAGACTCAACAACATTCTTCGCAAGCAGGGAATGTTGGAATGCAACCCCCACCCCATCAGCAGCTGTGTGGACACGCACACCTTTCTTCACAATACTCTTCCATGCAATTTCGTAAGCGCAATCGCACGTCGGCTTTCCAAAGCTGTATAACTTCCTGACTACACTTCCTGTTCAAGACCCTACCCAGCGCACTCTTTCAAGGTTCATGCCTTTGGGGGGTATGAAAACTGCGTCCCGATCATGTATCCCCAAAGAAATGGAGGTTGGGAGGCTAGCACATCTTCATGTCTTTTCGCAACGACTAAGCCGTAGACGGGGCTGGAGGAATTGAAATAATGATAGAAGTAACGCGCTCCTTCTTCATGGTCTACCCCTCCCTGGTTTCTAGGTCGTCACCCTTTCTATTACTCATCAGCTGTCATCGTCGCTGTCCTCAATCAAGCTGTCACCGCTCTCTAAAGTACTAGTACCATGCCTTGGTCCACGAGATATATCAATTGCATCAGTACCCTCTGCGCACTCCTCTTACTGTCTCAGCCCGTAGCAGGGACAGGATTCGTTCCACGAGATTTTGCATCCGACGAGGCTATCGCGCGCCGAGTCTGTGAACCAGCGGCCCCAGATGTCAGCGAGTCATCGGTGCGTCCTCTCCAACAAGCCGTAGTGAAATCTCTACTGACATCATTCAGATCATTGCCAATGTTTGCAACGAGACTCTTGCCAATGACTCTCCCACATGTTCCAACCAAATGTGGGCGCTTGGGTCAACCATCCCAGCTTCGCTCTTGTGCTGATG